GGTGTCATTTTGGACACATCACTTGGTTTCTCCAGTCTCAGTTTACCACCCTCTGTCTGATTAGCATACCTTGTCACTGTGATTAATTGGTGTGATGCTTACAGGAAAAAGCAAAACAGCACATAATGGAAATAATGAACAGTCAAATCAAATCAAATCAAATTGTATTTGTCACATGCGCTGAATACAACTGATGTAGACCTTGCCATAAAATGCTTGCTTACGAGCCCTTCCCAACAACGCAGAGTTTAAATATAAAATAGTAACATAAGAGGAATAAAATAAAATACACAAGAATGAAGCTACGGTATATACAGGGAGTACCAGTACCAGATCAATGTGGAGCTATATACAGGGAGTACCAGTACCAGATCAATGTGGAGCTATATACAGGGAGTACCAGTACCAGATCAATGTGGAGCTATATACAGGGAGTACCAGTACCAGATCAATGTGGAGCTATATAAGGCATTTGAGGTAGATATGTACATGAAGGCAGGGTAAAGTGACTAGGCATCAGGATAGATAATAATAAGGAATTTGAGGTAGATATGTACATGAAGGCAGGGTAAAGTGACTAGTTATCAGGATAGATAATAATAAGAGTAAAATAAAGAACAGAGTAGCAGCATCAAGTGATAAGTGTAAAAGGTTGTGTGTGTGAGCATACGTGTGTGTGGCCATATGTAGTGTATGTGAATGTGTGGGAGTTTTGTGTTGGGGTCGATGTAGTGTGGGAGTTTTGTGTTGGGGTCAATGTAGTGTGGGAGTTTTGTGTTGGGGTCAATGTAGTGTGGGAGTTTTGTGTTGGGGTCGATGTAGTGTGGGAGTTTTGTGTTGGGGTCAATGTAGTGTGGGAGTTTTGTGTTGGGGTCAATGTAGTGTGGGAGTTTTGTGTTGGGGTCAATGTAGTGTGGGAGTTTTGTGTTGGGGTCAATGTATTGTGGGAGTTTTGTGTTGGGGTCAATGTAGTGTGGGAGTTTTGTGTTGGGGTCAATGTAGTGTGGGAGTTTTGTGTTGGGGTCGATGTAGTGTGGGAGTTTTGTGTTGGGGTCAATGTATTGTGGGAGTTTTGTGTTGGGGTCAATGTAGTGTGGGAGTTTTGTGTTGGGGTCAATGTAGTGTGGGAGTTTTGTGTTGGGGTCAATGTAGTGTGGGAGTTTTGTGTTGGGGTCGATGTAGTGTGGGAGTTTTGTGTTGGGGTCAATGTAGTGTGGGAGTTTTGTGTTGGGGTCGATGTAGTGTGGGAGTTTTGTGTTGGGGTCAATGTATTGTGGGAGTTTTGTGTTGGGGTCAATGTAGTGTGGGAGTTTTGTGTTGGGGTCAATTTAGTGTGGGAGTTTTGTGTTGGGGTCAATGTAGTGTGGGAGTTTTGTGTTGGGGTCGATGTAGTGTGGGAGTTTTGTGTTGGGGTCAATGTATTGTGGGAGTTTTGTGTTGGGGTCAATGTAGTGTGGGAGTTTTGTGTTGGGGTCAATGTAGTGTGGGAGTTTTGTGTTGGGGTCAATGTAGTGTGGGAGTTTTGTGTAGGAGTCAATGTAGTGTGTGAGTGAGTATATGGTTTGTATAATGTATATAGTCTAGTGAGTGTTGATAGAGTCAGTGTTGATTGGGTCAGTGTGGATAGAGTCAGTGCAGATAATTCGGGTACCATTAATTGACTATTTAGCACTCTGGCTTGGGGGTAGAAGCTGTCTCAGAGCCTGTTTGTCCGAGAGCCGATGCTCAAGTACCGTTTGCCAGACGGTAGCAGAGTGAACAATCTATTACTTGGGTGGCTGGAGTCTTTGGCAATTGTTCGGGCGTTCCTCTGACACCGCCTGATATAGACGTCCTGAATGGCAGGTAGCTCGGCCCCAGTGATGTACTGGGCTGTCCGCACCACCCTCTGTAGCACTTTGCGGTCAAGGGCAGTGCATTTGCCATATCAAGCGGTGATGAAGCCAGTCAAGATGCTCTCGATGGTGCAGCTGTATAACTCTTTTCTTGGGAACAGGGACAATGGTGGTCAGTTTGAAACCTATTGTGATTACAGACTGGGACAAGGATAGATTGAAAATGTCTGTGAAGACACTTGCCAATTGGTCTGTGCATGCTTTGAGAACGCGCCCTGGTATTCCGCCTGGCCCGGCGGCCTTGTGATTGTTAACCTGTTTAAATGTTTTGCTCACATCGGCCATGGAGAGCGAGGTCATCAGGAAAAACTGGGGTTCCCTCTAAGCGAACAAAAGGCATTTAGCTCGTTTGGGAGTTCTGCATTGCTGGGCAACTCATGGCTGGGTTTCCCTTTGTAATCCGTTACCGTCTGCAAGCCCTGCCACACACGACGAGCGTTGGAGCCGGTGTAATAGGATTCCACCTTCCTCCTATATTTAGTCATTTAGCAGTCACCCACTAATAATGTGTAACAGGAAATGCAATCGATGCATGAGTTATTAAACACTACACTGTTTCCTGCCTCGAAGCACAACTTTCCAAGTAAGCCACAGGTAGTGTTGTGCCAGTAACCAAAAGGTCCCTAGTTCAAATCCCCGAGCCGACAAGGTGAATAAACTGTCGATGTGCCCTGAGAAAGACACTTAACCCTAATTGCTCCAGGCTTGCTGTTGATAACGGTCGACTCTGGCCGTGACCCCACTCTCTGAGGTAAATAAAGGGAGGATGTAGGACAGGGTTCCCCAACTGGCGGGCCAAATTTGGTGATTTTATTTGGCCCCAAGTTTTCTGAGCAAAATAATCAAATAAAATAAAAATGTATTTTTTATTGTTGGAAGAAAAAGACTGTAAAAACACCAGCAAATCAGCTCCAAGTTATTTTAATTATAGAAATCTGTTCCAAAGTATTCCCACACATAATAGAGAGACATGTGATTGTATAAAAATGTAAGCAAGGTTTGAAATTATTATGTTTTAATAAAATATTATATCTGTTTGGGCTTCTTGTGGTCAATTTGCAGTCTACAAAAATCGGCCCGCAACTGATTCTAGTTGATGATCCCTGATGTAGCAGAAGAGACTGGGGCTAAATATAGTGATTTCAGAAAGGTCGACAGAGTCATGCTACTCTGCTGAAATGGATGTAATGACGGAATTATATGAATCAACTCTGATCTCTCTGATCTCTCTGCTCTCTGCTTCATCCATTTCTCTCTAATGTTGCTAAGAGAAGCTCTGTTAGCTTTGAAGAAAGTATTACTGCCCAAATGCCAGCCATTTCAAACAGTTTTACCCAGACAGTACATAGCTGCAGTTGTTGGGTGCTAATGATCTGACTTGGGGAGTTTTCAAGACTTTGCAGGAAATTACTTTGGAAAAAATCAGGATAGGAATGTTTAAATTGATGTATGAAAAATGTATGCACTCACTAACTGTAAGTCGCTCTGGATAAGAGCGTCTGCTAAATGACTCAAATGTAAATGTAAAAAATGTTTAAAATTCACCTTAGACCATCATTTTCAGTCAGCCATGTTCTTGACAAAGTCCTTGTCTATGCATAAGCAGTGTCCTTTCCCTAAGCAGTACTAGGATCAGTCTGATTGAAGTACCTTACACAAGAGTTTCCCAAATTCGGTCCTGTGGTCCCCCCTGGGTGCCACGTTTTGGTTTATACGCTAGCACTACACACCTGATTCAAATAACCAACTCATCATCAAGCTTTGATTATTTGAATCAGCTGTGTAGTGCTAGGGCAAAAAACAAAACGTGCACCCAGCGGGGAGGGGGGAGGGGGGAGACCGAGTTTGGGAAACCCTGCCCTACACTCTGCCTGCCATTCTGATTTATGAAACTCATCATCTCTCGCATATTGGAACCGGTTGCCATATTGTGTTTAGACACTCTTATCATTGAAATGAGACATTTCAGAAACCAGTCTTCCCCAGTCAGATGAGATAGGACGCATTCTCAATACGCTGTTGACTAAATTAGGTTTGGAGATTGTTTGGCACTGGCCAGCTGAGCATCTCTCCATTCCTCACTATAGAAATAGAATCCATCATTCTATCTCTAGCTTCATCGCAACATTGGATATCCATTATTAGAAAAAAGAATCCCAACTTCAATTGAATCAGAGGGCACAAAGATCAAGTTGGTTGTTGTACTCTTGCTGATGCTGTTGAGCATATTATGCATCCCAAAAGGCAACCTAATCACTTTATGGTGCACTACATTTCACCCGAGCCCTGTCAAAAGTAGTGCACTATATAGGGAATATGGTGCCATTTGGAACACAGATATCGTGTTTTTAGGAGAGGAGAAGCATATGGTCCCTGCTGAATAGACTGTATGGTTCTCTAGAGGAAACCACCTGCTGTTCTCATTGTGTTGCAGTCTATTGTAATCTCTTTCAAATGGGATGAATACAATACGCAGTGAAACTGGCTCTATCTAAACAACCAGCAGCCCTGTTTGACACTGTTTGACACTGAGAGAGAGAGAGAGAGAGAGAGAGAGAGAGAGAGAGAGAGAGAGAGAGAGAGAGAGAGAGCGAGAGCAGAGATCAAGACATCACAGTTCACACATTGTCTTTGCTGTATTGACGTGTGCTGAGCCAGGCAGTAACTCTGACAGTGAGGCCAGCTCAGGTCAAATAAGAGGCATTTTATTTCTGTATTAGTGGTTAGCTAGAGCGTTTAGATTTCTTCTGTCTTTGCTGATCTTGGCAGGAGCTCTAACAATCAGTCAGGTGAGGGTTGCTCAGGTCCACCAGGGTCTATGGGTTTAGATTCAGTCAATTAACAGCTAGTTGTTTTCTTCTGTCAGTTATGTTCTCTACGTTGTGTGGTCTGTGCTGCATGCTGGGTGCTGATCCAGGAAGGAACTCTGACAGTGAGGGTACTTCAGGTCAAGCAAGCTCTCAGGGTTTTACAGTATTTAGTCAGTTAGTGGCTAGCTAGTTTTGTTGTCTCTGTACTGTGTGCTGGGTCAGCTGTGGACACCCAGGGTATATCCTGACCTGCTCCCTCTCACCCTGGGTCAGCTGTGGACACCCAGGGTATATCATGACCTACTCCCTCTCCCACTGGGTCAGCTGTGGACACCCAGGGTATATCCTGACCTGCTCCCTCTCACTCTGGGTCAGCTGTGGACACCCAGGGTATATCCTGACCTGCTCCCTCTCCCACTGGGTCAGCTGTGGACACCCAGGGTATATCCTGACCTGCTCCCTCTCCCACTGGGTCAGCTGTGGACACCCTGGGTATATCCTGACCTGCTCCCTCTCCCACTGGGTCAGCTGTGGACACCCTGGGTATATCCTGACCTGCTCCCTCTCCCTCTGGGCAGACTGTTATGCATCACCTCACTCACACACACCCAAAACACACACACATACACACACCTTACACACTGAGCTACCATGTGCTGTATCTGTCTATCATCCTTATGGCTTCTCTTGTCTCTTTCTCATTACAGAGATAAATGGAGCTGGTTTCTTTCTCATTACAGAGATAAATGGAGCTGGTTTCTATCTCATTACAGAACTGAATGGAGCTGGTTTCTATCTTATTACGGAGATAAATGGAGCTGGTTTCTGTCTCATTACAGAGATAAATGGAGCTGGTTTCTATCACATTACAGAAATAAATGGAGCTGGTTTCTATCTCATTACATAACTGAATGGAGCTGGTGTCTATCTCATTACAGAGCTGAATGGAGCGACCATCCATTTCTTTATTTCTGCATCTGCTGTATGAATACATCTAATCTAATTGATTAATAAACAGATTCATTCAGTTCTAGGTTAGGGTTAGGTAAGTTTATGTGTGTGTATCAGTGGGTGAGTACATGAGTATGCATGTGCGTATGTGTGTGTATCCTTTTATATGTGTGTGTGCCTGTGTGTGTGTATCCTTGTATGTGTGTGTGTGCCTGTGTGTGTGTATCCTTGTATGTGTGTGTGTGTGTGTGTATGTGTGTGTGTATCCTTGTATGTGTGTGTGCCTGTGTGTGTGTATCCTTGTGTGTGTGTGTGCCTGTGTGTGTGTATCCTTGTATGTGTGTGTGTGCCTGTGTGTGTGTATCCTTGTATGTGTGTGTGTGTGTATGTGTGTGTGTATCCTTGTATGTGTGTGTGTGTATGTGTGTGTATCCTTGTATGTGTGTGTGTGTGTATGTGTGTGTATCCTTGTGTGTGTGTGTGTATCCTTGTGTGTGTGTGTATGTGTGTGTATCCTTGTATGTGTGTGTGTGTGTATGTGTGTGTATCCTTGTGTGTGTGTGTGTATCCTTGTGTGTGTGTGTGTGTATCCTTGTGTGTGTGTGTATCCTTGTGTGTGTGTGTGCCTGTGTGTGCCCCACCTTGCTCCCAGTCTGACATCCTGACACATTTCAACAATCAATGTTGAAAATAAATCTGAGGATGTGATTGGAAATGAACTTGACATCTGTAGCGTAATGAGGCCCTGTAATTGGATAAACAGTGTATCTGATGTCACAGATGACTGCAGACCAAGGATGTGTGTGTGTGTGTGAGCTGTCAGACAGATGAGAGACCCTAACCATAACCCTAACCCTTGCCTCAACCCTAACCCTAACCCTAGCCTCAGCTCTCTGCCTTGATTGATCCCTCAGGCAAAAACCCGTCCAATGTTCTCTCACCCTCTCCAGACCAGACTGACTTGCAATGTGCAGACAGAGCAGGAAGTTGCAAAAGGCCCGTGCAACCCAAGGTTTGATACCAGCACAAACAGAAACCCTCTTAAACCTAAACCTAGACTCAAACCTAACCTAACCCTAACCTCAACCCTAACCCTAACCCTAACCCTAACCATAACCCTAACCCTAACCCTAGCCTCAACCATAACCCTAACCCTAGCCTCCACCCTTCCTGCTGTCAGGTGAGGTATGCCTCATTGCCATAGAGATAACCTCACTAGGGGTTAATATACAGGGAGCCAGGATTTGAGAACCATTGTTGTAGACTTCTGTATGAGTAATACATGTCCTGTATGTGACTCATGGGTCTGGCCTTGGCCTGAATTATCTGCCGGAACCTTCTAATAGATAAACCCTTTATTCAGAAAGAACATGGGTTAGCCTTGAATATGAAATCGAATTAATAAAATGCGGATGAGGTAATAATATACGCCATTGGCAGACGCTTTTATCCAAAGCCACTTACTGTAGTGAATGTATAAATTTGTATGGGGGGGGGGCAGGTATTACTTGGCAGGTGTCAGTATGATGTGTGTACCTCCCACTGAAACCCAACCATTTAGTTTGACCCCCACAGTACTGTAATGACCAGACCAAGAGCCAAAGACCCAGAGCTCAGATCTGTCCAACCCAGGGGAAGAGGCCCTCCACCTCCCCCCTCCCATGGAGAGACAGCAGGTGCCCTTTAAAACTGACAGGCCTTTCTTCTCCAGGCTCACCCAGGCTCTCAGGGATCATTACTGGACTGTTAGTCCCAGGGGTCCATTATACTGGATGTGGTGGGTAGGAGGTCTCAGTACGTCAGCTCAGTACTGGATGTGGTGGGTAGGAGGTCTCAGTTACGTCAGCTCAGTACTGGATGTGGTGGGTAGGAGTCTCATACGTCAGCTCAGTACTGGATGTGGTGGGTAGGAGGGTCTCAGTACGTCAGCTCATACTGGATGTTGGTGGGGTAGGACGGGGGGTCTCAGTACGTCAGCTCAGTACTGGATGTGGTGGGTAGGAGGTCTCAGTACGTCAGCTCAGTACTGGATGTGGTGGGTAGGAGGTCTCAGTACGTCAGCTCAGTACTGGATGTGGTGGGTAGGACATCTCAGTATGTCAGATATGAATAAGAACGGAGGAGAAAGGAGGATCAGTGGGTAAGATCTTAGCGCTGTATGCTTCTCTGAAATACAAGTATATGATAGGGTTTTAATATTGCCTATGTTGTTGCCTTGGCAAGACAATGACAAAGGTGTTGGCTGATGTAGAAACAGACTGGTACTCAGCGGGCTGTAATTGGATCACCAGGTGCACTCTACAGCATAACATATGCTGCTTCTCTGTGGGCTCACTACATAGGACTAACAGAACACCTCCATCTCCTCAATCAGGTGAATGGTAGGGACTTGGAATGGCAGGGATGTGAGAATGGTAGGGACTTGGGAATAGTAGGGACTTGGGAATGTTAGGGACTTGGGAATGGTAGGGACTTGAGAATGGTAGGGACTTGGGAATGGTTGGGACTTGGGAATGGTAGGGACTTGGGAATGGTCGGGACTTGGGAACGGTAGGGACTTGGGAATGGTAGGGACTTGGGAATGGTAGGGACTTGAGAATGGTAGGGACTTGGGAATGGTAGGGACTTGGGAATGGTAGGGACTTGGGAACGGTAGGGACTTATGAATGGTAGGGACTTGGGAATGGTAGGGACTTGGGAATGGTAGGGACTTGGGAATGGTAGGGACTTGGCTGTGGGAAGAGACTAGCTTTTGTGATACTGACTCACCACATAGACACCTAGTTATTCCTGTACAGTGTACATAGGTTTAAGACTCTTCTAATTCCCACCCCATAGACTTCTAGTTATTCCTGTACAGGTTTGAGACACTTCTATCTCTTCCCCGTTCAGGTGAATGGCAGGGACTACTCCAAAGCCAGCCATGATGAGGTGGTGGAGGTCATCAGGAGAGACCCCATCGTGGTGCAGGTTGTCCGTCACCATGGCAACCCCGCCCACGCACACCAAACATTTAAGGAGGTGCACGTGGTGGACGTGTGCACGCAGACTGACATCACCTTCGAACACATCATGGCCCTGGCTAAGCTGAGACCTGCTACTCCACCTGTACCCGACATCTGCCCCTTCCTGCTGTCAGACAGGTGAGGAGCATCTAACCCTAACCCTAACCCTAACATTAACCTTAACCCTTACCCTAACCCTAGCCTCAAACCTTACCCTAACCCTCAACCCTAACCCTAACCTGCTATCTGCCACTTCCTGCTGTCAGACAGGTAAGGGGCATCTAATCCTAACCCTAACCCTAACCCTAACATTAACCTTAACCCTTACCCTAACCCTAGCCTCAAACCTTACCCTAACCCTCAACCCTAACCCTAACCCTAACCTGCTATCTGCCACTTCCTGCTGTCAGACAGGTGAGGGGCATCTAACCCTAACCCTAACCCTAACCCTAACATTAACCTTAACCCTTACCCTAACCCTAGCCTCAAACCTTACCCTAACCCTCAACCCTAACCCTAACCTGCTATCTGTACCTTCCTGCTGTCAGGTGAGGTATGCCTCGTTGCCATAGAGATAACCTCACTAGGGGGTTAATATACAAGGAGCCAGGATTTGAGAACCATTGTAGACTTCTGTATGAGTAATGCATGTCCTGTATGTGACTCATGGGTTTGGCCTCATGGATTTTCTGCCAGAACTTTCTAATACAGTGAGGGAAAAAAGTATTTGATCCCCTGCTGATTTTGTACGTTTGCCCACTGACAAAGAAATGATCAGTCTATAATTTTTATGGTAGGTTTATTTGAACAGTGAGAGACAGAATAACAACAACAAAAATCCAGAAAAACGCATGTCAATAATGTTATAAATTGATTTGCATTTTAATGAGGGAAATAAGTATTTGACCCCTCTGCAAAACATGACTTAGTACTTGGTGGCAAAACCCTTGTTGGCAATCACAGAGGTCAGACGTTTCTTGTAGTTGGCCACCAGGTTTGCACACATCTCAGGAGGGATTTTGTCCCAATCCTCTTTGCAGATCTTCTCCAAGTCATTAAGGTTTCGAGCCTGACGTTTGGCAACTAGAACCTTCAGCTCCCTCCACAGATTTTCTATGGGATTAAGGCCTGGAGACTGGCTAGGCCACTCCAGGACCTTAATGTGCTTCTTCTTGAGCCAATCCTTTGTTGCCTTGGCCGTGTGTTTTGGGTCATTGTCATGCTGGAATACCCACCCACAACCCATTTTCAATGCCCTGGCAGAGGGAAGGAGGTTCTCACCCAAGATTTGACGGTACATGGCCCCGTCCATCGTCCCTTTGATGCGGTGAAGTTGTCCTGTCCCCTTAGCAGAAAAACACCCCCAAAAGCATAATGTTTCCACCTCCATGTTTGACGGTGGGGATGGTGTTCTTGGGGTCATAGGCAGCATTCCTCCTCCTCCAAACACGGCAAGTTGAGTTGATGCCAAAGAGCTCCATTTTGGTCTCATCTGACCACAACACTTTCACCCAGTTCTCCTCTGAATCGTTCAGATGTTCATTGGCAAACTTCAGAAGGGCATGTATATGTGCTTTCTTGAGCAGGGGGACCTTGCGGCCGCTGCAGGATTTCAGTCCTTCACGGTGTAGTGTGTTATCAATTGTTTTCTTGGTGACTATGGTCCCAGCTTCCTTGAGATCATTGACAAGATCCTCCCGTGTAGTTCTGGGCTGATTCCTCACCGTTCTCATGATCATTGCAACTCCCCGAGGTGAAATCTTGCATGGAGCCCCAGGCCGAGGGAGATTGACAGTTATTTTGTGTTTCTTCCATTTGCGAATAATCGCACCAACTGTTGTTACCTTCTCACCAAGCTGCTTGGCGATAGTCTTGTAGCCCATTCCAGCCTTGTGTAGGTCTACAATCTTGTCCCTGACATCCTTGGAGAGCTCTTTGGTCTTGGCCATGGTGGAGAGTTAGGAATCTGATTGATTGATTGCTTCTGTGGACAGGTGTCTTTAATACAGGTAACAAGCTGAGATTAGGAGCACTCCCTTTAAGAGAGTGCTCCTAATCTCAGCTCGTTACCTGTATAAAAGACACCTGGGAGCCAGAAATCTTTCTGATTGAGAGGGGGTCAAATACTTATTTCCCTCATTAAAATGCAAATCAATTTATACAATTTTTGACATGCGTTTTTCTGGATTGTTTTGTTTTTATTCTGTCTCTCACTGTTCAAATAAACCTACCATTAAAATTATAGACTGATCATTTCTTTGTAGTGGGCAAACGTACAAAATCAGCAGGGGATCAAATACTTTTTTCCCTCACTGTAGATAAACCCTTTATTCAGAAAGAACATGGGTTAGCCTTGAATATGAAATTGAATTAATAAAATGCGGATGAGGTAATAATGTAGACATTAGTAGACACTTTTATCCAAACTGACTTACTGTAGTGAATGTATACATTTGTATGGGTGTCCCCTTGGATGGTTCTCCTCAACACGGAGATGCTTTATTATGGGTTACGTCAACCTGATGTGGTTGTTCAGAGCCGCCTCTACTGTATCATGGTGGACAGCAGCATTAACCCCCCCCCCCCCCCCCCCCCAAGTACAGCTGATCACATCCCTTTAATGTCATCAGGCTGCTCTCCAACCCACGTGTAATAGTTGTGTCTGCAGTGCAGTCACACTGCCGCATCCATTTCCTTTAAGAGTTTACAAGGTGATTAAAAACAAACTCATTCTCCATCTATTTATAGGTCTTTACTGGGCCCCAGATTAAATCAATTTGTCCTATAAACCACAAATCATCCGTTCCCTCGTCTGTGATACGGCTGATAAGGGGGAGGCAGTATGGATGCTGGTGTGATTAGAAATAACAGTGATGTTACTGTGGGCTGGTTATACCCAGGGCTGCGATGTCGCTGCATACATGCCAAGTAAGCATCTGCAAATCAATGTATTACAGAGGAGATAAAACCCACTTACATGGGTTTTATGTCTCGTTAAAATGTGTCTATGTTTCAAATGAAACAATGTGTGTATAGATCCATGCCATTAGTTGCTTTATTGGGGGTTGTAAAAGGGATTTTTGCTAGCGACCGATATGTACAACGCAGGGAGAAAGGTGTTAAAACCAGCTTGCTACTCACACATCTTTCTTTCTTTCTCCCCCTCTCTCCCCTCTCTCCCCCTCTCTCGCCCTCTCTTTCTTTTCCTCCCCAGCTGTCACTCCATCCACACCATGGAGCATGAGTTCTACGAGTGTCCAGAGTACCTCTCCAACACCCCAGCTGAAGTGGACATGCCAGATGAGTTTGAGTACGAGGTAAGTCAATATTGAGCCCCACAAATTCCTGCCATGACAATTCTCCCACAGCGATTATATTGACAAGTCATCTGGCTCTTGGTCAAATATAGTGCTCCCTACTTATGCCCTACAAAGCTAATTACAACCACATATCCCGGCAACTCATTTTGTCATCCAAATGATAAAGATTAAAATACCGGAATGAATCTTACTACCTCAGTTTGGTATGTTTTCCCTATAAAGAAGGACACTTGTCAGACACACTTGCAGTGTTGATAAATAGCCTAACTGGGAAGCTGGGAGGCTGGGAGGCTGGGTGGAGAATGTAATTTGTGTCAGAGAGGCAGTGACTGTGGGAGACATGAGGTGAGGTGAGGTGAGGTGAGGTGATGGGTGACGTGGTAGTGTGTGTTTGTGCAGTGGTGGTGCTCGTTTAATGGCCGCCCGTGGTTCACTGCACAGGATTCTGGGTCATTAGTGTTCCTCTGCTGCCAGCTGTGGTTTAACTGCCTCTTCTGACTAAATGGATGGATGTCTCTCTGTGTGAGAGAGGGATGAGAGACGGTGTGAAGTTTGAGCACACACTCACAGGCACACACACACACAAGTACGCACACAGGCACACACACGCGCGCAGGCAAGCACGCACGCACACACACACACACACACACACTGGCCAGCCCAACTGAGGCAGGGTCAGTGTCAGGTCATGACCTGATTTCTGATGTTATGGCTACTCTTTCCCCTCAAACACACACACACACCTGGCCCTCAATTACTCTTTGTTCAGTCAAGTGTATCTAACTGTACCCTGAATGGCCTTGCTCCTCAAGGGAAGGGAAGAGTTGCCCTAGCAGCTCAGGGAAATTAGCTGTGAAGGATGTGTTTAGCCTGGCTTCATACTAACTTAAGCACAGCTACAGTGCAGCTGTGGGAGGTTTTTCTTCCCAGTGACCTGCTATAAAAACAACACACAGATGCAGATGATCTTCTACCATGGTCTCTCTAGGTGGTGTCTCTCTAACCTCAGAGAGTACATCCACAGGTTATTACTGACGATTATAAGGTGGTTTACCCCTTTACGAGTTAATGTACTGCCTGCACTACACACTGTGATTTCTCACTCTAGGAGGGAGTCTCTAATCTAACCTCAAAGATCTCCAGATTACAAGGTTGTGTCCTGTACTACACACTGTGATTGTTCTCTCTGACAGTAGGGAGCTAGTGTTCTCTAATCTCTCAGTACATGGTAGTTAATCAACAGTCATGGTGCGTTCATGTCAACCACTTTTCTCGACCGTTCTGAACCGTTCTAAACTGTGTGGAGGTGCGGAGTCTACTCGCCAGCAACAGCTGAGTCCTAGTGAAAAGCGCCCTTCCTCCTTTGAGGGAAAAATGGCTGTTTATTGTGGCTAGATGTTGAAGAAATGAATGTATTTTTTGAATCAGTCACCTCTGTGCTTTAGCTCTAATCTTTCCCAACTGCCACCAGGAATCCTTTGGAAATTAGGGTATCCCTTTAATTAGGGTATCCCTTTATTTGGGTATCCCTTTAATTAGGGTATCCCTTTAATTAGGGTATCCCTGTTATAGTCCCTTCTTTCTACCCCCTGCCTTCCAACTGTAACTTCACAAGTAAAATACATTTGGCAGAGCAAAATGTCAAACTGTACAATTATATATTTCTGTTTCTTCCCAACACAGCAGTGACTAAACAGACCAGGGTTAATACACCTGCAACATTAAGGGAACACGCTGTGAAGTAAATGCCATCGGTGCGACCATCAAAGACATCCCCAGTGGGACACCCGTCTGTGTTTTGTTTGATATGAGGTTTTAGTGCAATTGATGTACAGACCACACTCTGGGCTGGGGGACATGGTAGGTGTGTGATGTGTTACCATGGTGAGGAGAGGTTAGGAACCACACAACAAGAATAAGCAAAGACCACAGGAGGTGGGATGTCATTTATCAGACAATAATTCAACATCAATTGCAGTCTTAACTGGTCTGGAATGATGCAGCTTTAGTACCAATGCCACAGTATACCATGGTGATAGTGGGTTACTTGTTGAATTTGTTTCAGTGATACAGTTGGTTTACATTCAAACACACACACACACACACACACACACAAGCGTATGAATGCACACACACATGCACTCACTCTCACACACTATTTCACCCTTTGCAGAGATTTACTGGGGGAACTTCGTGTTTCTCCCTATGGGTGCACACAGAACTATGTTGATCAACATTTTGGTCTCGGTGAAGTTGGGGCACCAAGGTATGTGTTGTTTAAAGGGGAATTTCACCCTGGGGGAATCATGTCTGAGGCATGTTTCACACATACTTGCCCAGGAGGAAGGCAGGTCAGGGCTTCGCGCTCTGAATGATACACCCTATGACATCTTCCGGTGTATTGATGGGGGGGGGGGGGGAGCGAGATCTAAAAATGAATGTAGTCCTACTTTGTGGTATTTCGTGAAGACTCTATGTTATATTGATTGCACTATACGTTTTTGTGGGTGCAGATATGGTTGTCCTTGTTCCATATAGCCATTGGACGTCTGTCAGTGATGTTCCTATTGGCGGATTCATTGCTAAATATACAAGCAGACACATTTTTTCCATTCTATGAAAGACTACAACTTGTGTTGGGCGGTGCTTCATGCTCTGGCCCCTGTCCTTCCTCCGAGGCAGGCTTTTTTGTAAAAGAGGCTATATCAACAATTCTATTTTTACCTCTAATTGAGAATCTTCCGTTTTGTTGTGAAAGGAAAAAAAATAGATGGTATCGCATCACTTCTCAACTGTCGTTGAAATTGATTCCCTAACAGTTCAGTCTGATAATCTTTGATCACCGCATCATTCTTGATAGCCGCAAGCCACTAGGAGAATCAGGGTGAATCTCTGGTAGGTAGAACGGTGAAAGGTAACACATTTTTGCGCTTGTTTGTAATTAGCACAGCCAGGCACAGAACAACACACAGGCATGATGACAAATATTAGTGAAAAACAAACGTTTACAAAAAAACCTTGCCAAGAGAAGTTCTGAGATGACTGTGTGTTGGAGGTTCCAAGTAAACAACGGCATTATTGAAGTTGTGGCCACGCCCCCTTGTGGCCACGCCCCCTCTACCTTCGCTATGAATGCCAGACTATTTGGTTCACTTTTTGGTTCCTGATTCTACCAGTGAAATGAAAATGTCAGAGTTCTAGCTTGTGGTTTGGATAATTGTGATGTTTATGATAAAAACGTAATGATGCTAATATAGCAATGACTATATGCCATGGCAGAGCCAGGGTGAAATTCCCCTTTAATGAACAACTGGAACAGGGCTTGATGGGACTGGAGTCTGAACCCCACTAGAGTGAATAGTGAATATTTCATCACCGTGGTAACCACAGCCTACTCCGTCTGGGGATCTACTCTGGCTCCTAGCTGAATATCATCAGTAGAAATTAGCAGAGGGCCTTAATGCTGGAAGCATTCATTTTAAGAGGGTCTGTATAATTATCTCATACTTATCTAACTTTAGAAATAGATAATTCACCCTTCTGTGTCACTAACCTACTTCCTACACAATGGTGCAGAATGAAGTCAGTACCATATGTTGATATGAGCATAGATTTAATTTCCTGGCAACAGCTCTCTAGTTAGTGACAATTCTCAGAGACTAAGCTCAGAGTATTCATAAAGCGTTTCAGAGAGTGCTGATCTCCCCCTGGTCCATCCATTATAACCTGAAAGGCTAACTGATCCTAGATCAGCACTCCTACTCTGAGACGTTTTTTTGAATATGGGCCCAGCTTTTGAACTTGAAAAGAACAAGGTCATTATGAAGTCTGTTCAGGTAACACATCTCTGTTGGACTCCTCTCCTCTCCGTTGTGAATTCTCTCTGTTCTGTTCTGTCTCTACAGCAGGTAGAGCTGTGCCGGCTCAACAGTCAGGAGAAGTTGGGTCTGACGCTGTGCTATCGGACTGACGATGAAGAGGATACAGCTATCTACGTCAGCCACGTAAGCACCACCACCATCACCACAAATCCTTAGGGGCAACTCAGACTTAGGAAATGTACGCCTTTCTTACACACGCCTTTCCTACGCACTTCTCAGTAGTTGGTATTCAGACTTACCTTATGGCGTGGTTCCCTAGCGTGCTGAATAAATGTAATTCAACTGCTGAAAAACCTCCCACTTGCTGGCCAACAGATTTTCCTGTGGAGTTCATTCAATAGTGGTTTCAGTACATTTATCTAAAGTCATCACTTTACATTTGGTGTACCTTCATTATAACTTTCTCGACAGGCTCACTAGAATATATTGAGAGAACGGTTCAGAATATTAGGGATCAATTAAAGAAAACCATCAATTGTAAATACACGCATATTCGTTTCCTTTTCAGCACCAGTTGTTAGATTTTAAAATACTCTGATCTTGTATATTATTTAGGGTTAGGAAAGTATTTATGAATCTTTTTTTTTTTTTTAAGTTTGGAGAGCCTTTATGCACAAAATATATCGGTGAATCAAAAATACAGTGGTTTTATTCATCCTGAAAGTTGCCATATTCAATTGTTCAATCCATGAAATATTAGAAGGTGAGAAAAGTGTCCAATAGGGGTTGAGCAGTAGTCCTATAAATATATCCTAATAACCCTCACTAATCACGAAACTGTGATGACAACGGTCCAGTCGTGATGGTCTGAGTTCCATGATGATTCAATAGAGTCCATGCCCTAAATTATTGCACAACTTGTAATACGTTCGCCTAATACAGTATGATCCACTATTACTAGCGATCCTCAGGAACAACCACATGAACGTGACAGAGGAAGGTAAACTAACGATGTAATGGAATGATGCAAAACGTAAGGAAACAAACACTAAAGTGACAGTTATAAATGTATGTGAGTATAACTGAAGGTGGCTACATACAGTGAGGGAAAAAAAGTATTTGATCCCCTGCTGATTTTGTACGTTTGCCCACTGACAAAGAAATGATCAGTCTATAATATTAATGGTAGGTTTATTTGAACAGTGAGAGACAGAATAACAACAAAAAAATCCAGAAAAACGCATGTCAAAAATGTTATAAATTGATTTGCATTTTAATGAGGGAAATAAGTAATTGACCCCCTCTCAATCAGAAAGATTTCTGGCTCCCAGGTGTCTTTTATACAGGTAACGAGCTGAGATTAGGAGCACACTCTTAAAGGGAGTGCTCCTAATCTCAGTTTGTTACCTGTATAAAAGACACCTGTCCACAGAAGCAATCAATCAGATTCCAAACTCTCCACCATGGTCAAGACCAAAGAGCTCTCCAAGGATGTCAGGGACAAGATTGTAGACCTACACAAGGCTGGAATGGGCTACAAGACCGGTTGGTGCGATTATTTGCAAATGGAAGAAACACAAAAGAACTGTCAATCTCCCTCGGCCTGCAAGATCTCACCTCGTGGAGTTGCAATGATCGTGAGAACGGTGAGGAATCAGCCCAGAACTACACGGAAGGATCTTGTCAATGATCTCAAGGCAGCTGGGACCATAATCACCAGGAAAACAATTGGTAACACACTACGCCGTGAAGGACTGAAATCTTGCAGCGCCCGCAAGGTCCCCCTGCTCAAGAAAGCACATATACATGCCCGTCTGAAGTTTGCCAATGAACATCTGAATGATTCAGAGGAGAACTGGGTGAAAGTGTTGTGGTCAGATGAGACCAAAATTGAGCTCTTTGGCATCAACTCAACTCGCCGTGTTTGGAGGAGGAGGAATGCTGCCTATGACCCCAAGAACACCATCCCCACCGTCAAACATTACGCTTTGGGGGTGCTTTTCTGCTAAGGGGACAGGACAACTTCACCGCATCAAAGGGACGATGGACGGGGCCATGTACCGTCAAATCTTGGGTGAGAACCTCCTTCCCTCAGCCAGGGCATTGAAAATGGGTCGTGGATGGGTATTCCAGCATGAAAATGACCCAAAACACACGGCCAAGGCAACAAAGGAGTGGCTCAAGAAGAAGCACATTAAGGTCCTGGAGTGGCCTAGCCATAGAAAATCTGTGGAGGGAGCTGAAGATTCGAGTTGCCAAACGTCAGCCTCAAAACCTTAATGACTTGGAGAAGATCTGCAAAGAGGAGTGGGACAAAATCCCTCCTGAGATGTGTGCAAACCTGGTGGCCAACTACAAGAAACGTCTGACCTCTGTGATTGCCAACAAGGGTTTTGCCACCAAGTACTAAGTCATGTTTGCAGAGGGTTCAAATACTTATTTCCCTCATTTAAAATGCAAATCAATTTATAACATTTTTGACATGCGTTTTTCTGGATTTTTTTGTTGTTATTCTAATAATAATAATAATATGCCATTTATCCAAAGCGACTTACAGTCGTGCGTGCATACATTTTTTGTGTATGGGTGGTCCCGGGGATCGAACCCACTACCTTGGCGTTACAAGCGCCGTGCTCTACCAGCTGAGCTAGGGGGATCAAATACTTTTTTCGCTCACAACATGATACAAATATTTTTTTTAAAATACAGTGAACAGTCCAGGCATATAATGAAAACATTCTAGAAATCATAAATCAACTTGATAGGTATGTTTCAGTTTGCTGCCATATGACTGGTTTTACATTTGTCTCCAGTGATCATAAGGTAAAATATAACTAAAACAATTGTCATTTACAATCCCTTTATCCAAACGGCTTACTCATTTACCTAGCTCTTATCAATAGGTCTTATCAATTAGTAAATCACAGTACATGGGGAATGGTGTTATTTCTATCTGAAAAAAAAAAAGAAAGCAGATGTTGTTCCACTTGGAACCGACAGGTTGCTCAACCACATTCATCGTTTCATCGTGCGTAAAGGTGGTGGAATAATTGGGGAATTAAGTCAAATTCAGAATACAGCGTATCTGTAGACACCTCCGCCACACCTTAATTTGTTTGATCTCCACCCGAACAAATAGCGGGTGAATAGCATGCTGTTCTCATGCTTAAATTCAAGGTCAGAGTACACATAGAGAGAAATGGGTATAAAAAAGGGATACGTTCCATTTATGCTCATTTAACTCTGGTCGGAATTCCCCCCCGAGATTCGATCTTCCCCAGAGAAGTGTCCTGTTGGTAGGACACAGATCTATCCATGCCCCCCTCCTGAGTCTGGTTCTCTGGCATACGGTCATGTGACAAACTGCACTCCAAGGGCTTGGTTAAAGGAAGGGAAGAGACACGGCGTGTTAGAATAAATCAAACAAGGAATCCCACCGCATATCAATTACCTTTTATAGTCAGAAGCAATTAAAAGATAACCGTGAATTCCCATTTGATAGCATATACGTTGTGGAATATTGACTGACTTCAAATGAATTAGGTGTTAAGGAATGAGGAAGTGTTTGAATGTTTGCCAAGCAAATAATATCTCTTCCGCCCCGAATGAACCATGCATGGAGAGAGGAGAGGAAAGTAAGTCAAGTTTGAAATACTCCCCTCGTTCTGTTCAATATTCTAATTGAGGATTTTAATTAGTCCACAGTGAGTGACATCCTTCCTTCTCGTCTCCTGCAAAGTGTAAAATGACACATTTTCCCGCCACCGCGTCTGCATACCAAAGAGCAAAGAGACAGTTGAGTGGAAATAATCTCTCTCAGACTAAAGTAAAATTGAAGCTCTCATTCTCTCTCATTCTGGTGGTGTGTGTGTGTGTGTTCGTGTGTGTGTGTGGTATTGCCTTGCTCTTACACCAGCTTTCTCTTCAATAAACCGAAGCGTTACCTCAGGTAAAGTAGGAACAGCACCTGCAGTTGCCTCATAACCTAGGAACAGCACCTGCGGTTGCCTCATACCCTTCTAACATCATGTAATAACCCAAAACAGGGTATTTGTCTAACTTTTGATTCCAGAACATGCTTATCAGCCTCATTAAAATGTATTTTTGTAGATAATGTTGGAGTCACTTTTCTTGTGGAAGCGTAGGTATGCTTTTCCTGTTGGTTTTCAACATGTATGTACATCTCTTGATCTTGACTGGGAGATCTACAAAGTGTTTGAAATAATTGCAGAGAAATTGAAGCGGTATTGAAATCATACCAAATAGATTAGATTCCCTCATAAACGTATCCACTGGGATTGCCTGTGAAAAATATGAAATGTTGATATTATTTAAATTATAAATATCTACACGTTTTCAGCTTAATAATTTCTGACTTTTTAATATGCTTCCACTGTTTATTTTCTCTTGCTAAGGGCTTTATTTTGATGTTCAGTTCTTTGATGAAAGAAATGCTTGTGTTTGATTAAGACCGAATTTCAAAGGTAGGAAGGAAAAAAACAGAACAGATAGCTTCAAGGGAACGATTCGACATTCGATACAAGCACTCCTCAAAAATGAAAACAAAATACGGAGAAAATCAATAAATATTTAGATTCATTCCCCTTACTTAAATCAGGCAGGAAGATGGTTGTTGACATCAACATCAGTGTTATCTTGGTGGACAGCTACCACACTAATAAACCTCAGATGCTACAATCCATACCGTCATATTTCAAACTATATGGGAACATCCCAAATGGCACCCTATACTCTATATAGTGCACTACTACCCAAAAGGCTCTGATCAAAAGTAGTGCACTATTTAGGGAATAGGGTGCCATTTGGGACAAACATGCCATTACCATGTGAAGTTGAGCTCAATGGAAGCGTTGAGGTCGGCGTTGTATTGTAAAAGCAATATCTTCAGATGATGATGATGATGATGTTGACACAAAGAGAGAGCAATGAAGGTGTTTGATAATGATCCACCAGCTGTCTGTTCTAGCAGACAGTGTCATGCCAACAGTAGTAACTTGTGTATCTGTGTCTGGATTGTTTTGTTTGTTCAGGTTGGACCCAATAGCATCGCTGCCAGGGATGGGCGCATTAGGGAAGGAGATCGAATATTACAGGTACGTATTTTCATCTCAAGACCAATTGCATGAGCACGCACCACACACACACACACACACACTCTAAGGCACCTGTAAAGCTCTCTTCTACGAGCAGAGCTGTTGTTGTCTCGGGGCTGCAGATCATATGCATATTTTATGGATACACTTAAGCTGGGAAATGAAAGTCCTTAGTGTTGCTTTCACACAGCAGCACCACATCCTCCCTGGCGGGTCTCTCTCTCTCTCTCTGAAAACTGTAGAGCCACCTGGGGGGTCAGACACAGTGATACCTGCAGCTAGACTCCCACATCAGAGGGAGAGAGAGGAGTGTGGAAGTGGGTTTGAGTGTGTGTGGTTGTGTGTATATGGTGTGTGTGCGTTTCTGATTTTACTATCCTTGTGGGGACCAGAAGTCCTCACAAAGATAGTAAATCAAGGAAAATTCGGACAAGTGGGGACATTTCGTTGGTCCCCACAAGGAAAAAGGCTATTTTAGGCTTAGGGGTTAGGGTTACAATTAGAATTAGGGTTAGTGTTAGGTTTAGGAGTTAAGGTTAGGGTTAGGGTTAGGTTAAGGGTTAGGGAAAATATGATTTTGAATGGGAATCAATTGTTTGGTCCCCACAAGGATAGTAAATCAAATGTGTGTGTGTTAGGTGTGTTATGTGTGAACAGAGATTAGAAGTAGTAGTCAGTGCTTTTCTACACTCCCCAGTAGTAGCAGTCATGATGTTAGGTGACTGGTGGCCTAAACCCTGCACAGTCTCCTCCGATTGGAGGGCTATGTCCCTGTTGTATTCTGATTGGAGGGCTGAGCCCTGGTGTTCTCTGGGTCCTATTATCTCTCTGTGACAACCCCATTACTCTGCAGGGGAAAGATGAACGCCACCTGTCACAGAACAGTTAATTGTCTGGATGGGCGCAGTGCTGCGCTGAGACGAGCCTTTCATGAACACCATGCAGCGCTCTCTCTCTCTCTCTCTCTCTCTCTCTCTCTCTCTCTCTCTCTCTCTCTCTCTCTCTCTCTCTCTTTCTCTCTCTCTCTCCCCCATGGCTGTGGCTGGACCCCACACTCCCTCTTTAATCAATGCAGAGTAGAGACAGTACACAGAGCAGACCAGACATCCTCTGCCTGCCTGTGAAAGTGTGAATTCATAATTGACTGGAGGTGCTTTTCTCAGAGAGACGGAGAGGTGGAGGGAGAGATTAAAAGGGGGATAGTTTCCTCAAACACTCCATCTTCTGTGATGGAGGGAGTTAAGTGAATGACTGTGATGTGCACGGTATAGGAAGGGAGTCATTTAAAGGGGGATGGTTTCGTCAGTCAGTCAGGAGTTAATGAGTGTGAAGCTTTTCTTTCTTTATCGCTGTATGTACAGTACACTATGTGAGTGAGTGTGTACTAGATACAGTACTTTCTAATCTCTTTGTGTACTAGATACAGTACATTCTAATCTCTCTGTGTACTAGACACAGTATTTTCTAATCTCTTTGTGTACTAGATACAGTACTTTCTAATCTCTTTAAGTATGTGTTTTACATAATTGCTTCATTGATTCTTCTTCTGTGGTGGAGTTTAGTTGTCAGTGAGTGTGAAAGACAGTGACAGGTTCTCTTCTTAATCAGTATGTGTGAACTATATATTTTCTCATCTCTTTACCTACGTTCTACCAGATCAACGGCTGTGACGTACAGGACAGGCAGGAAGCTGTCGCTCTCCTGTCCAGTGAGGAGTCCAGGAGTATCGTTCTCCTGGTGACCAGACCAGAGGAGGCGTGGCTTGATGAGGAGCACAATGAAGTCCTTGAGGAGCTGAAGATGGAGATCCTAGAGGAGAGGAGGAACGAGGAGGCGCAGAAGACAGGAGGAGGAGAGGAGCAGGTGAGAACAGCTTGGGGAAGACCTGGGGAAGAGAATATGAGCTGGACATAGTTGGTCATTACATTTTACATTTACATTTTTACATTTAGCAGACGCTCTTATCCAGAGCGACTTACAGTTAGTGAGTGCATACATTATAATTTTTTTATACTGGCCCCCCGTGGGAATCAAACTCACAACCCTGGTGTTGCAAACACCATGCTCGACCAACTGAGCTACACAGGACCATTATACACTGAGTGTACAAAACATTCTTAATACACACGAGAAACTGTTGAGTGTGAAAAACCCAGTAGCGTTGCAATTCTTGAAACACTCAAACCGGTGCGCCTGGCACCTATTACCATACCCCGTTCAAAGGCACTTAAATATTTTGTCTTGCCATTCAACCTCTGAATGGAACACATACACAATCCATGTCTACATTTTCTCAAGGCTTAAAAATCCTTCTTTAACCTGTCTCCTCCCCTCCATCTACACTGATTGAAGTGGATTTAACAAGTGACATCAATAAGGGATCATAGCTTTAACCTGGATTCACCTGGTCAGTCTATGTCATAGAAAGAGTTCTTAATGTTTTGTCCACTCAGTGTATATCATTATAGATAATCATCATGTTGACTCCCTGTATAAATCAAATGTAAATAAAACATCCAAACAGATCATATTTCAATGTTGAGAGTACAGATGTCTAGGTGTTGCTATTCTAAACAGTATAGATGTCCAGGTGTTGCTTTTCTTAACTCTTAAGAGCTTGTACTAGGATTTGGGCTGATGCATGTTGATATGTTATAGAATATTTTTTATCTTTTCTACTTGTTTTTGTCACACCCTCTCTAACCAGAACTCTTTGTTCTCTTTCCAGGCCAAGCAGCTGGAGGAGGATGACGTCATGACAGACACGGCCACGTGTTCGTCCAATACTCAGGACAAAGACAGCGGTATGGGGACGGGGCGCAACGAGGAGAGCTCCGAACAGGAAGTCCTCCTAGCCCGTGTACATCGGAGGCCTGCCCAGGGCCTGAGAGACCGATGGAGGGCCGAGCATGGCCAGGGGCTGGGCAGGAGGGTGGTGCCCTCGGACACCCAGGGACCCAGGGGTCTGATCCAAGCCCAGGACGGTGAGGGCGGAGTGGGGTTAGGACTGGAGTGTGACAGCCGCTTCCAGCAGCTCGTGGAGCTCAAGTGCCAGATCCGTAACGGCGGGGAGTGTGGTGTGTACTACAGCAGGAGAAGCACCATGGAGTGCAGCCTGACGGAGCAGAGCGGGGTGGGGGTCAGTGATGGAGGAGGGATGGAACAGGAGCTGAGGATGTTGAACGAGGAGCTGAGGAGTATCGAGCTGGAGTGTCAGAGCATCATGCAGGCCCACCAGCTCCGCAAGACCAAGAGGGACCCCCCCTGCGCCCCTATCTGCTCCCCAGGACGGAGCCCCAAAGACGGGCGTAAGCGGCATGCCAAGCTGGCCGATATCAACGAGCATCCAGGGGAGAGGCCGTGGGACAGCGACAAGCTAAGGGGGGACAAGGACAGCTCCAGTGCCTATAACACAGCTGAGAGCGCCAGGTCCACTCCTCTAGGCATGGAGAGATCCCCGGACCACTCTCTACAGAGACGCATCAGCCTCACCAATCAGAAGAACCTCCAGAGTACAATGGCAGCCTCCGGCCAGTCCATCTCCATCCCCATCCCAGACAGGTATGTAGTCAATCAATCAAATGTATTTTATTAAGCCCTTTTTAGCCTTGAGTTTAGAAAGGTGGGCCATCAGCCGGTGGGTTCCGGTTCCAATCCCGGGTCTGACATTTCTATTATAGACAATGGATAATAATGTTCTTTTTCAGAGAGCTCCAGAGTGGGACCTCGACCGGGCACAGCCGACAGGATCCCAACCCCAGCCCAGGCACCACGGTCATCTCCAGCAGCCCCGACCAGTCCAACCCCTCCCCCTCCGAGTCAGACCCGGCCCTGCCTGCAGACGACGAGCGCTGCGACCGCACCAGGAGCCACCGGGGGCCACCCAAGGTCCCTACCTACCCATCCCCCTACCACACAGCCCCCCAGCAGGGCCAGGGCGCCTCTCCGGCCCACGCCAGACACCTTCAGAGCTACATGCAGCAGCTCCTCCAGCAGACCTCCAGTCTGGAGACCTACTCCCAGTCCCAGCTCAGCCTCCTCAGTGTCTGCCGGGAGCGCTCCGGCCGCCCGGGGGAACCACGCCTCGAGTGGAAGGTCAAAGTTCGAGCCGACGGGACGAAGTATGTAACCCGGCGCCCGGCGAGGGACCGAATTCTTCGAGAACGGGCGCTGAGGATCAGGGAGGAGCGTAGTGGAGGGATGACCACGGACGACGACGCTATGTCCGAGATGAAGATGGGGCGGTACTGGAGTAAAGAGGAGAGGAAGCAGCAGCTGGCTAGAGCCAGGGAGCAGAGGAGGAGGAGGGAGTACATGCAGAGGAGCCGGCTGGAGTGTCTCAGAGAGGGGCCGGGGAGCGGGGCCGAGGGCCGTAAAGAGGTCAACATCCTGGAACTCAGCCACAAGAAGATGATGAAGAAACGCAACAAGAAGATCCTGGATAACTGGATGACCATCCAGGAACTAATGAGTCACGGGGCCAGAGCACCTGAGGACCAGGGGACTAAACAAGTACACAATGCCTTCCTGTCTGTTACTACAGTATAGGACCACAGCTCTGGGTAGAAGTTACCCTGTACACACAGATTTAGGATCAGTTGAAACTACCCAGGTCGGGCATTAACTATTTGGAGGATAATGCAACTGACCTCAGATCAGTGTCTAGGGACAACCTTGCCTCATACCCCTCTCTCTCTCTCTCTCTCTCTCTCTCTCTCTCTCTCTCTCTCTCTCATCGCGTCCATGCGGTATGACCTTACTTGCCTCGTTCAATGTGGCATTTTTTATAATGGGGAAAGTACGATATTTTTCACACTTTGTAAACTCAGTAACATTTTGTAAAATGTTTTTTTTACACTGGTTGTCGATGTACTGTAATATGTTTTCTGCAGTTGCTTATTTATGATGTCATGAAACATGTTTCTATCATAATCAGAATTCTCCGTAAACCACATCGTCATCGAAGTCAAAGACATCGTTGTACGTTATCATGTATGCATTGTTTATCCAACATGGCAGTGATTAACTGTAGCGGTCAGAAATGTGACGACCATTGACCAGACAACTGAGAACAAACACTTGAACACACATACACACGTCAATGTTCATCATCAGCCCAAAAGGAGGCTCTTGTGCAGAATCTTCCTTGTCTTTTACTGAGGATCGACCATATAACTGCACAACCCTCTCAGACCCATTCAGTATGCCAAGCTGGCCATTTTCAGTATACCAAGCTGGCCATGTTCAGTATGCCAAGCTGGCCATGTTCAGTATGTCAAGCTGGCCATGTTCAGTATGTCAAGCTGGCCATGTTCAGTATGTCAAGCTGGCCATGTTCAGTATGCCAAGCTGGCCATGTTCAGTATGCCAAGCTGGCCATGTTCAGTATGTCAAGCTGGCCATGTTCAGTGTGTCAAGCTGGCCATGTTCAGTATACCAAGCTGGCCATGTTCAGTATGTCAAGCTGGCCATGTTCAGTATGTCAAGCTGGCCATGTTCAGTATGTCAAGCTGGCCATGTTCAGTATGCCAAGCTGACCATGTTCAGTATGTCAAGCTGGCCATGTTCAGTATGCCAAGCTGGCCATGTAGAAAGAGTGAAGACACTAAATCTCTGAAGGACGAAGCCATTTCCTTCTTAGAATGTATAGTTGAGCTTTCATCATTTCTGAAAATGTAAAGTCAGTTCTCTTGGAAAATTAAAAAAATTCCACAGAATGTCAATAATTTAGTGGTGTCTCAGAGGTTTTCAGTTTCTCAGTTTAAAGCAGTCTTGACGGAAAGGTTCACTAGTCAATAGTTTTTCCTCAACCTTTCATTGCAAATGTGATCGCAATGGTTCTCATCAATGGTATAATTAAAAAAGTTAATTGCTTACTGATTAAATAACAACATTAATTGAATTGATTTGATTGTTCCATGAATACATTAAATGTAATTTATAAATACAAAACATATTTATTATTTTTTATTGCTTATTTTCAATTATTGTACATTTATTAGCCTACATATGCATATTTTCGGACCTGTCTGAAGATCTGTTTGTATTGTCAAAATAACACAAGTTATTGTCTCTAATGTATTATATTTCACCTAACAGTCCTTCCTAGCATTTGGTGATGCTTCACTCTGATGCTTTTCACTGTACACTTCTCTTCTATCTTTGCTCAGTGTTTATCGTCTTATTTCAAGTAATCGGTAGTTGGTAACTTCATAGGCAGGTCAATGTGTTCTAATTGTGATATTTGCAAAGGAAATGTTAATAAATTATTGTTTATCTTTATGAAACAAATTACTGTATTGTGGTTGGTTGGATGTATTGCTTGGTTACATGACATAATATTCCAATCATCATAGTACCATAACTCATTCACCATCTATTTAATCCATAATGTTGCTATGAGAGGTCTGTCAGCCATTTTGGGGCAAACTCCAAAAGCTCTAGTTATCAAGCCCCGAGGCGCATACCACACCAGCTGCAAACACCTCTGGCTATCAAAAGCATTGGCATGTATCCCATTCTCGTTACGTTTGAAACATGGAAGTTGACATGCGTGTCAGAGTAATATCATGGCCCTATCATCTCTGCTCAGTGTCACTGTTACACCAGGAAGCTTTTTCATTATGCAGTTCAAACGCAGCAGCTGCATCACATCACCTGAAAGATAAGCACATGTACATCATGTGGAAGAATACAATGCATTCAGAATCAGTGCTGGTGGTGTGTATTTGGCTTTCAGTAATACATGAGGAGAGTGTTATGGCTCTCACGATCAGGATACCAGGAAGAAACCTCTGTACAGTGAGGGAAAAAAGTATTTGATCCCCTGCTGATTTTGTACGTTTGCCCACTGACAAAGACATGATCAGTCTATCATTTTAATGGTAGGTTTATTTGAACAGTGAGAGACAGAATAACAACAAAAAAATCCAGAAAAACTATTGAATTAAAAATTGATTTGCATTTTAATGAGGGAAATAAGTATTTGACCCCTCTGCAAAACATGACTTAGTACTTGGTGGCAAAACCCTTGTTGGCAATCACAGAGGTCAGACGTTTCTTGTGGTTGGCTACCAGGTTTGCACACATCTCAGGAGGGATTTTGTCCCACTCCTCTTTGCAGATCTTCTCCAAGTCATTAAGGTTTTGAGGCTGACGTTTGGCAACTCGAACCTTCAGCTCCCTCCACAGATTTTCTATGGGATTAAGGTCTGGAGACTGGCTAGGCCACTCCAGGACCTTAATGTGCTTCTTCTTGAGCCACTCCTTTGTTGCCTTGGCCGTGTGTTTTGGGTCATTGTCATGCTGGAATACCCATCCACGACCCATTTCCAATGCCCTGGCTGAGGGAAGGAGGTTCTCACCCAAGATTTGACGGTACATGGCCCCGTCCATCGTCCCTTTGATGCGGTGAAGTTGTCCTGTCCCCTTAGCAGAAAAACACCACCAAAGCATAATGTTTCCACCTCCATGTTTGACGGTGGGGATGGTGTTCTTGGGGTCATAGGCAGCATTCCTCCTCCTCCAAACACGGCAAGTTGAGTTGATGCCAAAGAGCTCAATTTTGGTCTCATCTGACCACAACACTTTCACCCAGTTCTCCTCTGAATCATTCAGATGTTCATTGGTAAACTTCAGACGGGCCTGTATATGTGCTTTCTTGAGCAGGGGGACCTTGCGGGCGCTGCAGGATTTCAGTCCTTCACGGCGTAGCGTGTTACCAATTGTTTTCTTGGTGACTATGGTCCCAGCTGCCTTGAGATCATTGACAAGATCCTCCCGTGTAGTTCTGGGCTGATTCCTCACCGTTCTCATGATCATTGCAACTCCACGAGGTGAGATCTTGCATGGAGCCCCAGGCCGAGGGAGATTGACAGTCTTTTGTGTTTCTTCCATTTGCGAATAATCGCACCAACTGTTGTCACCTTCTCACCAAGCTGCTTGGCGATGGTCTTGTAGCCCATTCCAGCCTTGTGTAGGTCTACAATCTTGTCCCTGACATCCTTGGAGAGCTCTTTGGTCTTGGCCATGGTGGAGAGTTTGGAATCTGATTGATTGATTGCTTCTGTGGACAGGTGTCTTTTATACAGGTGACAAACTGAGATTAGGAGCACTCCCTTTAAGAGTGTGCTCCTAATCTCAGCTCGTTACCTGTATAAAAGACACCTGGGAGCCAGAAATCTTTCTGATTGAGAGGGGGTCAAATACTTATTTCCCTCATTAAAATGCAAATCAATTTATAAAATTTTTTACATGGGTTTTTCTGGATTTTTTTGTTGTTATTCTGTCTCTCACTGTTCAAATAAACCTACCATTAAAATGATAGACTGATCATTTCTTTGTCAGTGGGCAAACGTACAAAATCAGCAGGGGATCAAATACTTTTTTTCCCTCACTGTATGCTTCTTGTTTTCATGTAGGTAAAGATCTATTAAAGTCAATGTTTTTTATACGGTATATGGATATAAATGTACATTTAGAGGGTAAATACCACGATTCTCTGACACAATCTAAGGAAGTACAGATGAATGACTACTCATAACTCATACACTGTCAAGTCAAGTCAATAAGAGCATCAAGTAACAGGATTCAAAGAGGTTCATTTAATATTTTGTTGACAGTCCACTGACGGTTGAAATAGAGCGATGTTCTTTCTATATGGTGCTACACCCACTCACTAGACAGCTCTGAACGGCATGCCTGTTCACTTCAGTGCTCAGAGTCTGAACTCTGTCTTGTGACGCATCGCACTGTGATTACACAGGATGTCCAAAACCAGGTCATTGATTTTCTGATGTGGTTGCTCTCCTTCAAAGAGATTCTACAGGTCACAACATGCTTCAGCTGATTCTGACAGAGATATTGGAGCTAGAAGAAGAGAGCATCAGAAACAGTGGAGTCATTCAGTCAGTCAACTTGGAGTGGTTGATGGTTAGGTTAGATAGATAAAAACTGTCTTTTTATGAGAGAAAGAGTGACTGAGCCCGATGCTCTCAACCTCATGTTCTCAGATGTCTTCCATTTAGAGAATGTCACAAAATATTCTCACCACATTATCGTTTACATTTTAAGTGCTTAATGTTTTTTTTGTTTTTTTGCTGTATTTGGATGAATTTTAATTGATTTAATATATTTCTCAATTGGAGATTGGAAATTCTCCACCTGATTCGTTTGGCCCTATCTGCGTACAGCAGAAGGATTACAATGGAGCAGTCATATTACTGTAGTCTGTGTAAATGGTTGGCTAGGCATTGCTACTGGACTGTGACAGATCCTGATCCACAGACCAAATGTATTCAATTATCTTTGGTATGCACATTGGGGATTAATCATTCATAATACTGTGTGCCATAATTCCACATTTCCTCTGCCACTGACTGTCACCTAATCAGACTGACTTACTAATGGATACACTACGGAGAGGAACATGAGGAACATGAGAGAGAGAGAGAGAGAGAGAGAGAGAGAGAGAGAGAGAGAGAGAGAGAGAGAGAGAGAGAGAGAGAAAGACAGTACTTACCTGACGTAATGTTATGTAAAATGGGACC